ATACATTAAGCTCCCAACTAATGATGCATACGGAATTGCTTCCATTTCTTTTCGTTCCAATTCACTTTTAGGACATTGTAAGAGACTAAACTTATCTCCTTTCTGAATTGGAACTGGAGACGATGAGCAGTTTTCCATTCTGAATCTCTCTAGAACTTTATTAATATATGCTTTCTGAGACAAACCTAACAGTCCTTGTGATCTATCACGGAATATTTCTATTCCTATCACATAAGCTGCCTCACCCATATCTTTCATTTCAAAGTTACTAGAGAGAAACTTCTTAGTCTCAGTTAAAAGACCAAGATCGTTAGTTGCAAGCAAAATATCATCAACATACAGAACCAATAAGATGAACTTGCTCCCACTGATCTTCAGATATATACATCGATCAACGATGTTTTCTTTAAATCCAAAGGAAACAACAGTATCATTAAATTTAAGATACCATTGCCGTGAAGCTTGTTTAAGTCCGTATATTGACTTCTTAAGTTTGCACACCATGTGCTCTTTACCCTTTTCTATGAACCCCATTGGTTGGTCCATGTACACATCTTCATCTAAATTTCCATTTAGAAAGGCGGTTTTCACATCCATTTGGTGTAACTCTAGATCATAATGAGCCACCAATGCCATAATAATTCTTAAAGAATCCTTCTTTGAAACTGGTGAGAAAGTTTCTTTATAGTCAATGCCATCTTTCTGAGTGAATCCCTTTGCAACTAGTCTGGCCTTGTAACGTTCCAAGTTACCATGAGAGTCACGTTTGGTCTTAAAGACCCATTTACAACCAACTCTCTTGCACCCTTCTGGTAACTCAACAAGATCCCAGACCTTGTTCTGTTCCATAGATTTCAACTCATCTTTCATAGCATCTAACCATTTATCACCATTTTCACCATTCATGGCTTGTGAAAACGTTACTGGATCATCCTGAATACCCATGTCAAATTCAGACTCTTGTAGATATACCACATAATCATTAGAAATAGCAAGTCTCCTTTCTCTTTGAGATCTTCTTAATGCTATTTGTTGTGGTTCTTCTACTATGGGTTCATTCGGTTCATCAACAATGATTTCTTCATGAATAGTGGGATCATTAACTTGTCCTTCATTATTATTGATTGGTTCAATAGCATAAGGAACAATAACTTTACTAGAGCTACAAGGTAATGGAACTTGTACTCTCACTTCATGAATATCCACTTTACGTGGTGTTTCACTCCCACTAACTTCACCATTCTCAATGAACCTTGCATTTCCAGATTCAATAATCCTTGTAGTATGATAAGGACAGTAAAATCTATACCCTTTCGATTTTTCTGGATAACCAATGAAATAACCACTGATTGTCCTTGCATCCAGTTTCTTTTCTTGCGGATTGTAGTATCTAATCTCTGCCTGACAACCCCAAACATGCAGGTGTCTTATACTAGGTTTCCTTCCAGTCCAAAGTTCAAAAGGAGTCTTTGGAACTGACTTACTAGGAACCCTATTCAATACGTACATGGCAGTTTTTAGAGCATAAGTCCACAATGAAACAGGTAAAGAAGAATTACTTAACATACTCCTAACCATATCCAGTAAGGTCCTATTACGCCTTTCTGATACACCATTCTGTTGCGGTGTACCGGGCATTGTGTATTGAGCACAAATACCACGCTTTTCCAGAAATTTAGCAAATGGGCCCGGATGTTGTCCACTTTCATCATACCTTCCATAATATTCACCACCCCTATCAGACCTGACAATCTTCACCTTTCTGTCTAATTGCCTTTCAACTTCATTAATATAAATCTCCAAAGCATTTGCAGCTTGAGACTTATCATGCAGCAAATAGACATAACCATAATGTGAATAATCATCAATGAAAGTGATAAAATATTTTTCTTTATTGAAGGCATTAACATCAAACGGACCACATACATCAGTGTGTATAATTTCAAGAAGCTGAGTGCTCCTTGTGGCTCCTTTCTTTGTGTGTTTTGTTTGTTTTCCTTTAATACAATCCACACAAACATTTAAATCAGTAAAGTCTAAATCCGGAAGGATTTCATTATTTACCAATCTTTTCATCCTTTCTTTGGAAATATGTCCCAAACGTTTGTGCCACAAGTAAGCGGAACACTCATTAATTAAGGTACGTTTAGTACCAACATTATGATGCAGAGTCATAAGTGTTTCAGCATAAAGATTATCAAGACATAATTTATATAATCCATCACATAAAGTACCATTACCAATCAAATGATTGTGCTTGTACAAACTGAAACTACCACTACCAAATTTAAAAGAGTATCCAGCAACATCAAGTTTGGAAATTGAAACTCAATTCCTAGATATACTAGGGACATACAAAGTTTCACATAAGTCCAAATGATATCCACTGTCGAGAATTAAACGATACGTCCCAACAGCTTCCACCGGAACTTTCACTCTATTGCCCATAAAGACAAACTTTTCATTTGGCCTTGTGGATTTTAGAAGAAGAGGCCTCATTCACTTTAAGGGGTCCTCCTCCTCCTCCTTTCTTCTCATGCATCTTACCTTTATACTTTTCAGCTTCTTGATGCTTTACATAATTGACAGAATGATTTTAATAACATGCTCAATGATTTTAATTTTGCCGCAATGCTTGTCATTTCAATAACATGCTCATGCATAGTACGCGAACCATCAAACTTCATGGTGGTCAGTGTACTCATAAGTGTCCCAACAAGAGACTTATCAGCGGTTTGGGAGCGCTCTTCCACAAGTTCATCATTTCGATGGTACTTTCAGTTTGTGGAAGAGCTGACTTAATGCTTTGAGTCATACATGTCACATACTGACATACTTCACAGATTCAACTATACTAACTTCAATGCATAGATTCAACTATACTAACTTCAATGCATATTAATGTTCGCCTTTGGGGATCCATTAACATACAACATTAACTATAATGATGCTATATAAATTTCACATAATTTGGCAATGATGCATACCCCTATCATAATTATTTGTCATCTTTGGATGTCCAAATGTGAGGAAATATGCCAACAATACCAACATCCATGTTCATTTTATAAAACAAATAATCAACCTTTGGGTTGATCCCCAACTGTTCTATAATAATGAACTTCAATATACCATAACTATAATAATTATATCATACTATTCATAGCATCACAGTCATGGTAATTGAAATAAAATTCATAATATTTGAAATTAAAATAACTCTTCAAGATTTGGCCACTTTGGTGACTAACAAATCTATCATAATTTAATTTCCAAAACTTTAATATTTCATAAACAATAATAATTCACGGTTTAGAAGGAAAAAATAAAAATAAAATATTCATACAGTACCTAAAAGCCGATTCAATCAGTAGCTAAAACTATTATGGGTCTTCTTATTATACTTTAATGAAACCCACCGATTGACTTTTAAAATTAATGAGCAACAATATTGTATGCATATATATCGATTATTGACAAGTTGATAATACAATCCGATTCAATCTGACAAGTTGATAATACAAGCCGATTCAATCTTTTTGCATACAGCATGCATTATTTTCAAATACAAACCGAATGGAAATCTTTCCAACTTTGTCCTTTTGTGAATACAAAGTCAATTTGAATTTTTCCTTCAAAACTCACGATTCTTTTCAAAATCAAATGTGGACACAAATGGCAGTGATTCATGAAACCAAATTGAAAACCGAATGGCTATCGAGAATTACCTTTAAGCATGATGATCGGAAATTTTCAATGATGATCGTGAATTTTATTTTCAAAAACCCTAACTTTTCATGAATCAGAAATTCATTCATAATTATTTATGGAAAAACACAAATTCTTAAACACATGCTCTGATACCACATGTAAGCAATTTAATCAGTAATTCATGATTCATGTTCAACAGTAATCAGTCAAGAACATGACATAAGATCTTTAGAATTCATGAGTTTCACACAAACATACCTTTGTCCATAATTGCGGAAGATCTTTAACAGTAGAATGTTTTCTCTAAGCCTTAACCCTTTCACCGTTCTTGTACCTTCTTTGATAGGGATAGGATACAACTTTTCTAGGCAGACTCAGAAGGACGTTTGTTTTCTATCAGATACCCTTATATGAAAACTGACCATATAAACTATTATATAACTGGCCTATCACAGTTATTTCTAATTAACTTCCCTTAATGCGAAACGTCAAAACGTCAATTACCATTAATGTGAAACGTTACCATAATGCAAAACGTTAAAACATCAATTATCATTAATGCGAAGCGTTACCATAATGCAAAACGTTAAAACGTCAATTATCATTAATGCGAAACGTCAATTACCTTAAAAATTCTTTTATTATTAATCAAACCAATTGACACACATCACACATGAGACACAAATAGTTTTACAACACCCTCCCCTGTACGCGTCCAAAGGAGTTGTCTGCTAAGCGGATTAGAGTCGTAACGAATTTTATATAAATACAAAACTACTTTTTCAAGTTGCTAATTCACTCTTATGATTGAAATCTGGTGGTTTACTGAAATCAGAGTGCGACTTTAAAAATACATGACTTGCTGAAATAATAATTTTCCTGCGAAACCTTGCTGCCTTGCAAAAATGGTATAAATTCGAGTTCAACAGATTAAAAAAATATTCTTTGATACAAGGAAACTAGACATTCGGGGCTTTACGTGCATATAAAAATCATTTCATTCAGAGGTGTCTAGCTCCCGAAACAGAACTCGCAAGGTAAAAGATAAATCAGTGAAAATGTTCCAAAACTACCTGACTTGCAAAAATCATAAAAATCCGTGATTACATAATTTCATTGTAAAGCTTATATAATCTGAAACTAGACACCTGGGGCTACGCGTGCATATAATTTATAAGTAAATCGGAGATCTGTAGCCCCAGAAGCGGAACTCGCAAAGTGCTCGCAAAAACAGTTTATAAATCAGCATTCAAAACGTTCATGAATTGTTTTTGTAAAATATAACCCGAATAGTGCAAGTTAAGTGCTGACCATAAAGTCTCAGACTACACCAATTTAAGACAGGTTCTGACATTTTTCCGATATCACAAAATATTAAATCAACATCATTAATCAGTCATCAGCTAGCAGAAACGGTGGACAACAATATAATTTCCAAAGCAGCAACAAACAAGCAGAACATGTCCAAATTAAACACTTCATCAAAAATCCTTTTTCGTCTCCCTGCAATTTATAAAAATTGAGCCCCAAAAGGGGTGAGAAAGAATCCCAGTAGTGTGATAGTAAAACCAGTATTGCCACAATATTAGACTAGGTACAAAATTCCAAAACAGTCGCATCAACATATAATTCCGAACAGATGCTAACATATACTCATAGTGTGTATATAACGTCAAAGTACTAATCATGGTGCGTATATAACGCCATAGTCATCATAGTGCGTATATAACGCCATGGTAATGTACGCTCATACCACTGCAGTGCACATACTAACATACACAGTGGAGATTCCACATTGGCTCCCATCAAAGGTGAATTCCAATTGTGGCCTATGCGGACTGAAGCCAAGTGTCCCATACCCTGGTATCGGAGGGATGCCTATATGATGCGTGCTCAATATCATGCTTACTTATATTATAGAGTAAATACCATTTTTGGTCCCTAACAAAAAACACGATCCCCATTTTAGTCCCTTACAAAAATAAATTAGTCAGTTAGTCCTTAACAAATTCAAAGTGGACCCATTTAGTTGAAATCGTGGTCCCACACAAATTCAAAAAAGACCCATATTAGTCCCTCAAAAGGACTAAAATGGGTCCACTATGAATTTGTTAGGGACTAACTTACTAATTTATTTTTGTAAGGGACTAAAATAGGGACCGTGTTTTTTGTTAGGGACCCAAAAGGGTATTTACTCTATATTATATACTTCGGTTTCCAAACTGGATGCACAATGTTGTATGCCATGATATGCTTTGCACACACAAAAGAAACGGATGAATTATGATGTATGTATGCATGACTAGATCATCATCATAATAACATATCTTTCATGTATTTTCAATACCAAGCTGCCGCATAACAATTGCTTCTCATAACAGAATTTCCATCTTGTCAAGTTCAAAGGAAGATTACCAATCAATATTTAACAGAATACAAATCATCAGGCACATGTGAGCAACAGTTCAAGATTTCATACGCTAGCTAATAGTCACAATAGGTCTCACCACCAAACACTTACCTCGTGTGCCCAAATATAAATCAAACAGCAGCAAACTCAGCCCACATTCAAGGTTTATGTGCACCTAATCAAGCAAAACCAACCAGAGTTTCAAACGTTGATTCTTATAATATACAAGCATTAGCCATACCTACAAGCATGAGCATTTAACACGTTTTCCATAAGTCTTTTACTTATTATGTTTTCTGGCTTCAAGTTCTTTTTCTAACTTGTTACAGCGAAGACAATTTAAGGTTACTCACGTCCAATTCGGTTTTCATACAAAAAGTCTCATGATTTTTCATTCATATAATTTCTATTTCCCTAGACCTATGGTGCGCTACAGGGAACATATAGCATGCTGTCAAATTATTCTAATTCATATATAAGGTATGATGTAGCAACATATTTCAACAAGGGAAATTATAGTCCAAGCTAAAAGAATGATTCTTTGTCGTGTAACTACAAAACCCCATTGGTTCCAACATGGCAGAATTAATAGAATTAAGATGACACAAAGCTACCCCTTAAATACGCGTATAAGTCCGAATTTTGGCCAGAAACTAAAGACACATAATTTATCTATTTACAAGGTAATTTCTACAAAGCTTAAATGTGAGGGAACAAGGTCTTAGGCAACGGTTCATGCAGTCTTAATTCATACCAAGTTTAACCCAATTCTCCAGTCCAAGGCTGGTCTAACATCATTAAATGAGTATTGTTCAAGTTCAAAAATTCAGTTTTTAGCCTACTTGCATCAAGTCCTAGGGCTGCTTAAAAATAACAGAATTTAAAAAAAAAATTGGGAGTAAGGTGTAGGAGTGACAAGACAATAATTTCCCTAATTTATACATGTAAACCGAATCAGCAAGGTGCGGAAAAATTTGGGATTTTGACGTTACCTCTTTTCAAGAATACACAACTAACTTTCACTCATGGACAACAACTTCCTTCATCCACTGCTCCAAGGGACCGATTCCAATTATATACAAGGGAAAGAGAGACTCAACCACAGCCGAGTCATGGGCATGCAGTGGAACGAAACAAAACTTAATCAGAACTGGTTTAATTCGCGTTGAACAAGGGGAGGAAATTGCTTTACCTCTTTGAATGAAGGTCTTCGGCTGAACATAAGAGAGGCAGAAAGACGATGAGGAAACTCTGGATTTCGAGCTTCATGCAGTGAGCACTCCATCAAATCACACAGAGCAACGACAACAAGAAAGACCGCAAAATTAGCGCCTCCCCTCCTGGAGGTGTACCTTCAGCCGACAGCAAGGAGACGGAGTTCTTGTCTTAGGGGTTCAAGGTATGTGGAGTGCATGAGAGAATGGAATGAAATTTCTGGGTTCTTGGTCATCACCCATGGGGTTCGCAACTTAGGAAGTGGATGGGGGGAACTCCATGAGGTTTTGAATAGAGATCAATAATTAGCCTTGAGGCTTCCTTGTACAGCGCATGGGAAGAAAAGAGAAGGAATGCTATGGTCTCACAATCTGGACTAAAGTTCAGCAAGGAAGAACAAAACTCAGACTTGATATTTCTCCAATGGTGCGCACAAAAGAGGGGATAAGAAAAGTGGGATTTTCGGCCAGTAGTGTTTCATGCAACCTGACTTCTCTGTACTAATTGGCTCAAGGCTTAATAAAGCTGACTTGGGTTTGTCCAAGGTAACAAGCAAAAAAAATCAGAATTTCTACTACTCTATCAACCTATGCGCATAATTAGGGTTACAAGAGTGGATGAAATTTTGCCATGTGTAATTAATCAACCAATGCATGGCAACCTGGTAGATTTATTTAAGATAAGGTGTGAGGCTCACTAAATAATTAAGGCTGAACATAATCCCCTTATTTATTTTTTCATGTGCCCTTAAATTATTAATTAAAATATTTACACATTGTAATACCATTAGTTCTATATTTTGAACTAGAGTTCTGAATTCTTTAGACATATATATTTACTCACCCATAACTCAATTAATGTAATTTTCCTAAACCAATTTAATCCCACTCGAGCTATGCATATATAGTTCGAATCCAAATAAGCTTCCGTAGTTCTCATTGTAGTTTACACATGGTTCCCTAATTATGTGGGATGTTACATATACATTAACAAAATTCAATGCATTATCAATTGCTCCATAAGAGATTTATATATCAACCAAATATCAATTATGTTTGTAATAAAATAATTCAACATTATACGTAAATAACAAAGAACTCAAACTCCCACTAACCAAGCACATCAAAGCAACTCACAATGCACATGTTCTTCACACGCATTTCAAATATCATGGGCCTAATTCCTTTAGTTAGAGAGTCAGTTAACATTATCAATAATTAAGTCATCCACATACAATACAAGAAAAAAGACTTTTCTCCCGCTGACCTTATGGTAAATATATTAATAGAAATTATTTTCATCATAGCTCAAGAAAGTCACTACCTCATCAAATCACCATTAATGTAAAATAAAATGCATGTTGATTTAAAAAGGATATAGAAATCAAAGTCCTTCTCATAGAGGCCTTATAGAAAATTCATTTCAAAATAAATCCATCTCTCACTGACTCGACAATAACTTCAAGATCACACAAAATTAATCATATCTCTCCCACTAAAAAATACGTCAAGTATGTTTTCTACATTAATTATAGGCTAACACACAATGCCCTATCAGGCTATCAAGATCAAAATTCATAAAAAATAAAAATAAAATAAAAATAAAAATAAAATAAAAAAATAAAAAAATAAAAAATAAAAAAAATAAAAATCTAGATCTCATCTCCATTAATCACAATTCAATCCAATCAACAATTCTATTATGACATTATTATCGTTCATATCAAAAGTATATTTATTACATAAATGCAATTATATTAATTATGAGCAATGAAATAATTTTAATGAAATAATTAGCAGATTATAAACTCTCCTTTGGGCAGAGTACATAGTACATAATTATTTCACATTATTTTAAATTTTAACTCAATGCAAATTTGAAAATTGATGCATACAATAACTTCCTTTGGGCAGATAATTGCAAACAATAATTTTTATCAATAAAGAACTCTAATAATACACAAATGATATTCTGAATAATCATGCCCAAATAATATAAAAAATCTTATAACATGTGTTTTTAAAATTCATATTGCGTCAACTAAATTATAATTTATGCAAAATTTCTAATCCCCAATATCAATAATTATACATCTTAGCTCACTAATCAAATTCAAATAAGAGAGTACATAAAATCTATGCTAAAATAAGGAGAGTAACATTACAATCACTAGAATCTATAATAATTTTCATCAATTAAAATTTAAAAAAAATCATAAATATTTCTCACAAAATTAAACATGAATAAGAGAAAATAATTTCAAATAAATATTTATGTGTATAAAAATTAAAATAAATATTTCAAGATATTGATTTCAAAATGAATTAAACATAGAAGTTAATTATTAAGGCAAAACAGGAATGCATCATAGTAAATTACAGGGCAATATACACCTTCAATTAAATCAAGATATTATAATGAGGCCAACATAATAGTACATTCTCCTTTGGACAGAATGCACTAACCAAGGTTGAACCAAGACCAGAACCTCAGATGAGTTAATCAATGAGCACAACATTGGATAAGAAAATCTATCCCCTTTGGGTAGATAGATTCCTAGACCAATGAGCCTCCAATAACTTCATCTACAACTTCAAGAAGAAGTTGCTCAGGATGAGTTAATCATTTAGCACAACAAGATGTCATAACAAGGCCAACATAATAGTACATTCTCATTTGGGCCGAATGCACAAACCAAGGTCAGAACCTCATATGAGTTAATCAATGAGCACAACATTGGGTTCGAAAATCCATCCCCTTCGGGCAGATAGATATCTAGCCCAATGAGCCTTCAATAACTTCATCTACAACCTCAAAAAAAATTGCTCAATGAGCATACACTGGATTCAGAGATGTGTCCCCTTTGGGCAGACAGATCACTTAGACCAATGCACCTCCATTAACATCATTGCAAACAAATTTACAGTTATAACACACAATTACCACTTTTGGGTAGAAAATTGCATGAAATAACCAAAATCATTCCCAAACAAATTTTGTATTTATCAATTCAAGCAAAGCATATAAAAAAGGAATATTAGAGCAAGCATTATAGATTAAAAAAAAAATTACCTCAATACTCTAGGAGAATTATTATCATCATTAGCTATCAAATATAACAATTAAATCTTTCAACACTTTCTTCACCGAAATATACCCCAAAAAATTATAAAATATATTCTAAATTTTAATACTTTTTCCTTTAAATGTTTATGGTAATAAAAATATATAAAAAATTATATCAAAATATCACATTTCAAATTATTATAAGAATATTAAAATAATTTCTGAATCAGCGTCTAATTGATGGCCAACGTAAATTTGAAAAGTAACAAATATCCGTAAACTAACAATTTGTCATAGTTATACTGTTATACTAACAAATTGATTATGATTATACTATTACAAAGCCAAACGAATTGTAAGCAAATTATAAACAATTATTCAAAAGTTGTATTAACAAATTAATACTAAATGTAAACAAATTGTAAAATCAGAATAGATTCCGAAGAAAATAAAAAATGGCAATACTCCAAGTAGCAGCATAGAAACAACATCATACTTGCATAAGAAACAAAAAAAATGAATTGCTTGAATACTGAACCATAGCAGTCCATTACTGATAAGTCCATGCAATGTGACTTAAAGAATATGGTTTTTGATATAAAAATGTAAGAAAAAGAATACTTTTGGTTTAATATTAACCCAATTAAATTGAACTGAAGTTATGTTGAGTTAAAAGTAATGGGCTGTGTTTTGATGTTTCAGGCCCACAAGTTAAGTGAAAGAAAAAGTTTATCAAAGAAGGAAAAGAAGAGAAAAGAACTAATGCGCTGTGGTGGTCAACTCAGCAAAGCCCACGTGAGAGACAGAAAGGAAAAATTGGAAGACTTATGCAGCCTAGGTCACATTTGGGAAAAATAATTCCTAAACAGTCGAATCCCTAGCCGCTCACCCTTCGAACCTCACTTCTCAAACCACCCACAAGGCTGTGCCATTAAACATCCTGTTCCATTTCTGCGAGCAATCATACCATATGATGGGACGTAAATTCGTTCCCATCTAAGCCCATTTTGATGGCAAAATACCATACGTTCCCTCATATGATGAGCAACTTAGCATGAAAATCACTTGTTTTACACATTTGTGACAAAAACACAGTGGGAGAACGTATGATGACGTATTCCTTTGAAAACATATTAAAAGGGGAACGGATTGAGAGCATTTATTACACCTGCTACCTTCATTTAATGCTCTGCTCATTTTGCAGGAAACGTGGAAACAACGTCTTCTAAAAAGCAAGGCGGTGCACCACTTAAGCAGCAGGAAACGTGAACAACAGAGAATCAAGAGTTCTCATTAGCTAGGAAGAAAGCAAGGCATGAGGGACTGCAAGAAAACGGCTAATTATCAACAAAAACTGTCCCATCAAGCAATTTGAAAGCTTCTAAACACTGTTGCCACCGCCCCGTCCCTTCATTCAAGAAACCAACTCCAAAGGATTTACAAGATTGCCACTCTCTCTTCTGCCTATAAATAGGACGTCCCAAACACAAAAACATCATTGAATTCTGGAGGGATTGAAGTCCTAAAAGAAGATATCACCTAGTATTAGTTAGTAGTTTAGTTTTGTATAGTTTTAACTATAGTTAAGTGACAACCCTTCTTCCTTACTCTGTATCCATTAAGACTCCCCACGAGCATCAAACCATCTTCTCCATTTTATACTTTGTTGTAATCTTTCTTGTTTGATTTCAATATAAGTGTTTCTTCTTTTCTTTCCAATCGTTATCTCTGAACTGAATCTCGGGTCTATGGGATTTCAGTTTAGAATAATTATATTTAAAATATCAGCATGGGCTGAACTATCTGTGGAACGGATAAGCTGTAAAACTCTTAAAGAATTATTTCAAAAATTCTTGACTGAAGCTTTTTATATTTCTTTGGCTAAGTAAGCTATATTCATTGTGTATCAATGGAAATTGAACAGATACTGAGAAAGGAACTTCTTTAAGGAAGGGATTTCATACAGCTTAGCCATTGGGGGAAGGTAGTGTTATGGCAAAAACACTATTGGTCACCTTAGGAATAAGGGGCCACTTCGTCCATTTTAAGGTTCTGTACTAAGTACCTGTTGGAGTCAAGGGAGCCGTAGGAATATGGAAACTTGTGAGCCATCTAGTCCATGAGCTGAGGAATCAGAGTTGGCAGATAAGAAACTGGGACAAAGCCAAAAAGTGCTAAGTCTTGAACAGAGGAAATAACTATTTAAGAATGTAGCAGTGAATCCGTTCCTTCTGTTAAACTGTTTTTCAAACCATCCACTTTGTTGTCTCTTGATTATAGTTATCATTACTGTTTTATTTTTACTTTGTTTAATCTTGTATCTATCACACTCCAAGTGTAACATCCCGCAAAAGTAGAAAATTACATAACTTGCAATTAGGGGTGTGTAGCATGCTTGAGACTCGAATTAAATTTTATGTTTAGAGTAA